CTCTGTCTTGGTTACTTTTCTCTTGTTGCCTAGACAAAGTACCCAATGCCCAAAATGAAGGAAGGAAAGGTTTATTTGGCTCACAGTTTGTGAAGGTTTCAGTCCATACTTGGTTGGCTCCGAGGCAGAAGATAGCAAAGCAACAAGAGCAAGGGGGAATGGCAGCCGAACAGCAATGCAGCCAGAGCAAAAGGGAGGAATCGCGGCAAGCAGCTTCTTCCCCCCCCTTACTTTGTAAACAGGCTACCCCCACCTAAGGGGCCTGTAGCTCTTACATAATTCCAATGCCCTCCTCTTCCACAGGCTCAGGATGTATACAAAGTAAGCACCCTGGCTTCCTGCTTGGTCACTTAGCCAAACCTCTAGACTCCCCAAGTTGACACAGTGTATCAACCATAACACTCCACCCCTTGTCAGCTTGGCAACCAGACATATCTCTTTAAACCAGTTTCCAGGTACAAAGACATTATATTCCACTAGAACCATAACATTTCACCCCCTAAAGACTCATGCACATCCCTTTATGCAAAAGGCATTTAGTCCATCTGCAAGAGCTGCCAAAGTCCTAACAGTTTCAGCACTGCTGAAGAGTCCAAGTCCCAAGTCTCCTCTGAGATGTAAGGCGAACTCTTAGCTGTGACCCCCTGTACAAATGAAAAGTTAAACACTTCCAACATTCAATGGCACAAAATAAGCAGTACCATTCCAAAAGATACAAACGGGGATACAGAGCACTGGGATGAAAGCACGTCCAAAATCCAGCAGAGCTAACATTATGTCTTGTAATTCCACAAGCAGCATCTGAAGCAACTTGTGGCACATTGTGAGCTCCAAAGGGTTTGCATGAGTCTACCCCTATGGCACTTCAAGTGGTTACAGCTTCAATGGCTTCTCTCTTAGGCCTGCTTTGCTCCCTCCTTGCAGCTTTCCTTAGATGATCCATGGTCCCGGCTTTTCTGAACTTCTGAGGTCTCCAGGGTCCCTTTTGCTTCACACTCACAGCTTCACACACTTCTCCCTCAGGGGCACACTGCCTGACCTCTCAGGCCTTCTGAAATCTGGGTGGAAGCCTCTTTAACCTCAGAACTCTTGCATTATCCATGCACCTAAAGCCAGGGCCATGTGGATGATGCCAAGGTCTGCTGCCACCTGAAGCAGTAGCCAAGTTTTCCTCTCTCTTGGCCATAAGGCTCGAGTGCCTGGATCGCTGGGCCCTCTGAATCCATTTCTGAGGAGCAGATTTTCTATGCTGCTGCCATTCTGGAACCTGGTGCTCTGAGGCTTCCTTCTCAAGGCAAGGTCTGTCACCTTTGCAGTTTTGAGGCTGCAAAGAGGGGAGACTTGCTGCTTCTTGTGATGCCCTCAGGCCATCTTTTCTATTCTCCTGTTCCTTCTCAGCAATGTCGATCTCCTCAGTTCCACCTTTGTAGTCCACAGCTTCACTGGAGCTTTCTTTCTCGCCAAACTCACATTTTAAATCATCCTGCTGGGCTCTTTGTTCTTGATTCTCAATATAAATCTGACTAAAAGCCCCCAACAATAGCCATGCCACATCCCCAACATTCGACTGCCTTGAAATTTCTTTTGCCAGATTAACCAGTCTGCTGCCGCCCTTAATCTCAGTCTTAAGCAAAGTCTCCGGACATGAGCAAAATGCAGACAAACTTTCTGCCAAGCCATAACACACATTGTCTGGAGTCCAATAACCAATGAAGTACTTCTTTCCAGCAGAAACCTCCCAAACCTGGTCTTTATCTGCAGGATTTCTATTAGCCTTCTGATCTTCAGAGCTCTGACCAGAATCTCCCAGACAGAGCAGCCAAAGATGTTATAGCGCTTCTCTTTCAGGCGACATCTCTGAACCTTTCCGAACACTTCCCACATGCCATTTCCAAAGGTTCTTGAACCACATGGTCAGATATAGTCACAGCAACGGCCCCACTCCTCTGGTACCAAATTCTGTCTTGGTTACTTTTCTCTCATTGCCTAGACAAAGTACCCAATGCCCAAAATGAAGGAAGGAAAGGTTTATTCGGCTCACAGTTTGTGAAGGTTTCAGCCCATACTTGGTTGGCTCCGAGGCAGAAGATAGCAAAGCAACAAGAGCAAGGGGGAATGGCAGCCGAACAGCAATGCAGCCAGAGCAAAAGGGAGGAATCGCGGCAAGCAGCTTCTTTCCCTCCCTTACTTTGTAAACAGGCTACCCCCACCTAAGGGGCCTGTAGCTCTTACATAATTCCAATGCCCTCCTCTTCCACAGGCTCAGGATGTATACAAAGTAAGCACCCTGGCTTCCTGCTGAGTCACTTAGCCAAACCTCTAGACTCCCCAAGTTGACACAATGTATCAATCATAACACTCTGTCTGTGACTGTCTCTCTCTCTCTGTCTCTCTCTCTTTCTCTCTCTGTACAGAATTCCTAAGTGACCTTAGTTTGCTTTATATAGCATCACAGAAATTCAAGCATCTATTTGATTTATTGGGGTAGACTCTTTTTATCCATGAATTGGAAGGTTTATGTATTGTGTACTTTTTCCAACTACAAGGAAAACAATTTCTTAAAATCCTGAATTCCTTTACTTAATTTAATGGCAATGATGAAAAGTTAGTGATTAAATTGTCCTGGAAAAAGAGAAAATTACACAGTCTGGTATGGCACTGGTGAGTGCTGTTTTTTGTGTTTTTTAATTGAAATTGCAGAAGTTAAGGTGGCAGTTTGAAACTTCCCCATAGACTTGATTCAATGACAGTCAGCAGGGTTGAATTATTGGAAAAGTTATCTGCACTGGCAATTATATAGTAGATTCTTTGTTATCACAAGTGGAATATTTATGTGTAAGTGAGAGATAGCAAAAAATACTTGTAGAATGAAAAAAAACCCTCTTATTAAAAATCTGAGTAGAATCTATGTTATCAGAAAATTAAAAGAGAAATTTCAACTCTGAGCAACTCAGATATAAAAAACATAAAACAGTGTTGATAAATGGAAAAGCAAAAACAGAACTCTTCAACTATTTCTGAAATTATGATAAAGAAATTTGCAGGTCAAAATATGTTCTCTATTTTTGTAAAAAAGATTTTTCTTTTCATCCACTGAAATTCTGGCTTAGCAATCTCTGTTGGGACCTGGAGCTATATGAGTTTCACAGCTGATTAGGTTAACAGAGTTTTATAGCATCCTATGAAAAACTTTCTAAATGAATCATTTTATTCTTGTTTCTGATGTTCCCTGTTCATGAACCATTTATACATAAATAGCTATAATTTTATATGAATAAACTATTACACAAAAAAGCATACTGTAATTTTTCAAGTTTTGATACTTTCTTCATAACAGAAATACAGGTAAGCACTGTAAGACTCCAAGGATTTCAATAAAATCTTCCAAAACTTTTTCTTGTTTTTATTAAATCAAGGAGACAGAAACTTGGAGTACTTACTTTATAATTAGAAAATGTCAGAATCAACTCTCTGAACTAGTCACACTTCTGTATACTCTGCTACTTCAACCAAATGTGTTTACTGCTTTGGGGAAGTTGGAAAGCCATTCACTTCTGTAACTGAAATAGTTAAAAATCTTGTTTAGAAGATGTGTTCAACATGAAAGTAGAAGGGTGACTATTAGGGAAGTAAATGAGGAGGGTAAAAGAGGATAGGGATCATTCATGTGATCAAACATGTTATCTGCAGGTATGGAAATATCATTAATGTGTTCAATTACCATTAATAAAAATGTGTATGTAACAATTCCATAAAACCCTTAACGAATATAATTTGCAGTCATATTTCTACTCCTGGTGATGTGGTCCAGTTTCACCACCAATCCCTGGAAACACTATAAAAACACAGATTCTCACACCCACCACGAAGCTTCAGAATCAAAACCTGCACTTTGACAATGTGCTTTGGTAATTCAAATGCACATGAGTGCCTAAGAAATTCTGTTACTAAGTATATTGGAAGAAATATTCCCCTTCAAAAAGCATACCTCCCAAATTGTACTCTTATCCATCAAGTCTAAGGAAGGAAGCTACCTGATGTTGGAAATAACATTGAACTTATTAAGCTATTTTAACTGAGAACTGAATAAATGAAGATCCTGAACTACTTTTCCTTAAATCAAACATAAAAGTGACTCTTGACACTGAAGCAAAATATACCTTGTACAGTCACATATTCTATCGCAGAACAATCTAATGAAGCTGAATTAATTTATTCCATATGTTAATTGATTCTGTCTTGTAACACTTAGGAATTGGAAAATATTGTACTTTTTAAACAATAATCTGACAACCAGCTGATAATTTAGCTTTATGGCTACACAAAACAATAGAGGAGAAAAGGAACTGTTTCTACAGATGTGAACTGAAATCTCATGGTTGCATAATCATATTCCCTATTGATGAATAACTAAAATTTCATGGACTGTGTCCCTTAGTATAGACGATGGGACTCTCGGGCAATCAGGGAAGTTGAATCATCTTTCTTCCTCTTCTCTGTCCTCCTGCCCATTATTATTTCTCACAAAGGTTTCCCTAAGCTTTGGCTTATGAACAACAAAGTCATAATTCTTATACTGGGATAAAGATTAGAAGCTTGTCAGCAACTTTTTTCCTCCTCCAACTAGATTGCAATAAGGACCACAAAGAAAAATAGCAAGTTCTATCTTTAAATACTGAACCTCCAATTTGTCTTCTAACTCAGGGTGAAAATCCTGTTATCTAGGTTACGGGAGTGTAAAAACTCAAGCCTTATCTATCAGAAAACAGAAAGAACTCACAGGTTTGCAGTTCAGGAAGGCTTAAAAGGTCATGGCCAGTAGAACTACATGAGAACCATGGGTATCCACTAAGTATATCAGCAACTTAATGTTCTTCCACAGTGGGGAACAAAACTAGCCATGACAAGGAAGAATACTCTAAAATAAAATTTGAGAAGTCATTAAAGCCAAATTGATGACCTCTATGATCGTAAGTAATTGTTGTGATTTTGTTTTGCAGTGTGTATGTACAGAGAACCATCACTACATGAAATTGGTGAAAAACAAGGGCGTTCAAGGAAAAGTTCTGGAACACCAACCATGAATGGAGGCAAAGTCGTGAATCAAGATTCAACATAGCTGAGAACTCTTTCTTTCTTCCCTCGTCATCCCTCTCCCTCCCCTCCCTTCCCCTTCCCCATTTCCTTCCAATAAATTTCACCCAAGGAGAGAAAAATAAAATGGCAATGCAGGACCTAGTAGCTAAGATTCTGCACTCAAAATTTCCCTTGTTTAGGAAAAGAAAATTGAACCAAAGCTTGCCTGTTGCAATGTGGTAGAAAATTCACATGCACAAAGATTAGCACAATTAAAAGGAAAGGAAAAACTAAATCAGGACTCCACAAACAGAAACTTAAACTGTGTTGTTACTAGAGGGCTAATTGTAACAAATGCAGAAGTATAATAAAGATGAAATACAGTTCTTAAGGAAAAGGTCGTGGAAAATTGAACTTAGACAATGATGTTAGACTCTAACTTGAACTAGATAATGCTGTAGTGTGGTTTTGTTCGATTTTGTATTTCTTTTGGGCATCTAGAATTGACACCATTACATTCTGTTTCTAGGGTTTTTTTAAACCATAAAACTAAATATCTATGAATTACACTATTGTAATGTGCTTATACAGTATGTTTAACATCCAGAAGAGTTTAAAAAATTACACTTTAAACTGTTAAGATTTCTTTTGCAAATGAATACTCTTGTGTTGAATCTAATGGTTTTCAGTGATTTAGTTCCTTCCTAAAAAGTTTCAGATTCTTTTTAGAGCTATCATATTTTTATCAAAGGTGCAAATCCAGGATCTCATTTTTTTTTAGTCATTTAGTAAAGAAGTTATTTTCATAATTCTGAAGTAACACTGGGGCATTCCAGGTCATTACTTTGTGCAGGCAGTAAGGTGTAAGTTACTTGTCTTTATCCTTTGAACTTATTTTCTGCTTTGTGGACTCATTTGAGCGTACCATGTGTAAGTCTAGCTGTTCTGGTGAGTTTTGTACCATATTTCGCAGCAGAAAAAGAGAAAGATGGGTTTTACATTCCTAACTTAGTGTCTTATGAGGCCAGTGGCTTTTTGTTGAATATATTCTCACTGGTAAGTCTAGTAGGGAGAAGGATCCTAGTGACACAATGAATTTTTAAGGACAGGCTGAACGTAGATGGAATTAGCAACTTTGACTCTAACAGAGTTGTGTGAGTGAAAAAGAACTCAGCATAGAAGCAAGCAAGCACACAGTTGGGAATACTAAGGTATTAGAAAAATGTTAGCAAAGAAACAAATGTTACACAATTACATTGGAGTCAAAAGATCTACTTAGCCCTACAAATCAGGAATGGTATTGAGACATCCAAATTCAAACAAATTAAAACAACACAGAATGTTTAAAATGTATGCAGATTTATGGGTATTATTAATAAGAAGACTAGCATGTAACTTCTCCTATATCTCTACTGTCCAGCATGTACTGTTCCAATTATGACTACCTAAAATATATACACTTTGCTGAAGCTCTAGGTCTTCACTTGAACCTTGCCATTGGTCGCTATATTCTTTCAAGATCAACATAGTTTCCTTCACTCTGCACAATCATTATTCTTCAACAGTGGTTCTTGTCCTTCACCAAGTACCCTACTTAATGTTATTGGGAGGTTGGTAGAAAAAGCAACAGAGTAATTTGGCTAATAAGTTAGGAGAATAAACATTACCCACACATCTAGGCAGAGATTTTGAACACATATTTACAAGAGATACTTGTTAGATCAAAATACCTGGAAAGTTACAAATGAATATATTTAGATTACAAAAATAACAACAAAGAGTCTTATTTGTTTGGAAAAACTGCCCTTGGAAAAAATGAAGATCTGGATATGTTTTCTTTGTCATTCTTGATTCAATTCGATTATGAATACACCTATAACTTCCAGGAAGAAATGGATCCCAAACACAAGGCCTTATTTTTTATTTGAAATGGTCAAAAAAAAAGCTTAGAGGTCACAGGCTCTTTCAGCATGAAATGAGTGGATCTTTTGTGGTGATACACACGTACCCCAACACGGCTGATCATTTCACAAGTAACATAGCTGATGGACCCCACAATCATTAATTACACTGACATATGATGGAATAGATTTAAACCAGTTAATTCTGAAAAGATATGATAGGGGCATGAATCCAACAAAATCTCTTACCCTGTTTTCAGTGGGTGTCTGTCATTTAACATTTACACTCATATTTCTCTCCTTTCTGGGAACAATTAAGGCTCATTCAACTTAGGGGTCTAGTTCAGTGGCAGAGCACTTTTTTTTTTAGCATACAGGAAATCCTGGTTTTAATCCCTAGTACTGGGGAAAGAAAGGAATCTTCTAACCACACAATCCATATATTTTCTCCTTATGGTGTTAAGTAACTATTCTCTGCAGAGAAATGCTTTGGAAATTTGTTTTATTTACAACTTGTTTCACAGAGTCAATTGGAAACCTCATATTTCTTTTGCACATAATCTTGACAAAATTACACTCTAGAACACAGAATAAATGCTTAACTGCAGCTTAATTTTTAAATACATTTTGCTCTTTAATAGGAAGAGTCAATATTCATTATGTTTCTAAAATTACCTATATAAACATGATTATCTAATTCCCTTTAAAAATGTGAATCAGGTTTAATATTTTGTTCTTCAGGTTTATTATAATAATAATACTTTTTACATTGATTTTCATTGTTCTAATTTCTGGGTCTTAAACTCATCTATCACATATTCTCTTGTAAATGGAATAAACTTTTTTTGAAATGCACTGAAATAGTCACAGGAAAAATATGGTTTTTAGTAAAGCTTCGATATTAGCTCTGGAAGTACAAATGAAGGCATGGTTACTCTGAGAGTTTCCAGCGCAATCTGTATATTTGAAAACGGAAACAAAACTTTTGAGAGTTTCGCAAAATAGCTTTCTGGTCAGCATACTTTTTAAAGCTAGATATTGGAGCTGTAGAAAGAAAAAGTGCTTGGTGTCCCACTTGTTTCAGAGATTTTTGTGTTTCAGAGAACCAGAAGATAGCCAACTGTTCTATTCTTGGTCATGTTAATAGTTTTGGCTTTGAAGTATACATATGAAATTCATAACACATATTTAACCATCGTGAATTGGCACAATAAAGAGACATCATATAATGCAATATGATTCTTTTGGGGCCTCTTTCTCATTCAGAAAACATGTTAAAGAACCTTGTAGTTCAGAAAATCATAACATTGTAGCTAAGTAATCTCAGTTGGTGGCCTTGAGGCTCCACTGGTATGAATCAGAGTATTACAACAAGAGAAGGAAGAAGAATGGTTTGATTGTTGTATATGAAAAGGTTGAAGGTCTTAATATAGAGCCAGGCTGGGGATATAGCTCAGTGGCACAAGCACCTGCCTGGCAAGTGCAAGGTCCTGAGTTCAATTCCCGGTACCAAAAAAAAAAATAAATAAAAAAACTTAATATAGGGCCACTGCTTTCTTGGTGGAGAAGAATCACTACATCAACAGTAATTTTTTTGAATATAGACCCAGAAAGAGCAAATCTATTCTTTCCTCCTCATGGCTTAGTCTACAAGGCCTTGCTCTTAAGAAAGTTTTCCATGATTTGTTTAATTTCATCTGCACAAGGTGAGACAGTCAGACCAAAACTCCTTGTTTATTTTACCACCATGAAGGCTGAGGTTATTTCTCTGTCATAAAACTGTAAATAGCATTTTTTTAAAGTCAGAATCACATTTAAAACAGTGGATTGTTCTACAAATATATATGTGTATATATACATATGCTTCTGAGATGAGGATATATTATATAGAGTTTATATTTGATTTGTGGTCTTTAGTCATAGGTAATCAAAATAAAGAGATTTGAGTGCAAAACTTTATATATAAATGTATATTTCTAATGACAGTACAAATGGTCACTTTATATTAAAACAGAAACGTGGGAACAATAATTAAAGCACATACTCCTTCGGAAGTTCAGTGATTTCGAATCCCCTATTTAATGCAGAGATAATTATTTTTATTTCTAAAAAAATATCTTAAAAAGCTACACTTCCCATTACGAATCCTACGATAAGTCATATAGATTGAAAACTTGTGGTTGAATGTCTGGAAAAGAAAGTTACATGTTGATGTTTATTTATTAGGATTTTTCTGGAGCCAAACTGAAAAATTCAATATTTAAATCAAATTGAGTTGAACTTACTAATGTTTTGGGAGATATATTGATCTTAAATACTAAACAGAAACAAAAATAATCTACCATGATCATAGCATTAATGTTATAAACAACCTTGCATCATTAAGTGTTTTATTAGTTGGAAAGAATGAGCTGACATTTCTTTGCCTTTTTTCCAAGCACAATTAAAAGACAGTGACCTTCACTTTACTTAAAGTTGTTCAAAAGGTCTAAAATATATTCCCATAAGTAGAATTGGTACTAGCTCCATTTCAAGATTAAATGTTACAATCTTAAGAAATAATTGACACTGAAATGTTTAATAAACATGTTACATGAGAAACTGAAGAAATGGATTCATTTTTGCATTAAAGCACAGATTACTTAAACCATTGTTTTTTTGAGATCAGATTTGTAAAATGTTTATACATCACAACTTTCCTGAAGTGAAAAGTAATTAAAGTCTTGAGATACTCATGCATGTAGACACTTTTTTAAAACATTAAACTTCTTTGAGAAGTCTCTTTTTTATGTGTGTCTATCCTACAGTGCGTTGCTGAAAAAATGTTGTGTCTTATGTAAAAATGATCAAAGATGGATCTACAGATGGAACCGAAGTCAAATTTTATTGAACAGTCAAGAGTAAACATTATAAATCTACTTTGTGTTGACCTGGCATGTTGCTTTATGAGGATTAAGAGCTAGAATGTGTTCATTTTTCCTATTATTTATCATCTACCAGCTAGACACCGGTTGCACTGGGGAATCATAAATTAAATTACAATCTAAAAACATCTGACACTAGATAGATAGATAGATGGATAGATAATGGAATATCCAAAAGTTCATATTAAATAAATAAACAAATTACCAATGAATTATATGCCACTGACCATGAAAAAAATAAAACAGAGGGAAGACAAGGATGGTAAAAGTATAAGATATTTCTCTGTAATCAAGTAAATATGGGACCCTAAAATAGAGGAAATAGTTGAATAAAAAGGATGTATTCATAAAAAATAATTTATTTGGAAAAACATTTATGAATGAAACAAAAGAAAATATTCAGAAGAGGAAGTAGCAAAAGCTGAGTTGAGATAAACACAAGTCAAAGTTTACTCCAAATTTTGTCAATGCACTCTTGAAATTTGTTTGAGTCTTTTTACAACTTAAGCTGCTTCTGTTTGCTCACAAAGACTCCCCAAACAGATTCTTCATTCAGAGGTTCCTGCCATCAACACTGAGCTGAGTTCTTTCTGTTCTCCTCACCTTCATGTATAACAACTTCCCTCTTTAAAGTCAGAAGTTAATTTGGAAATTGCAGACGCCGCACATTTATACCACCTATCCTTTCTTAGTAATCTCTGAGTAAATGTCTCTTATCTCACTGGTTCAATGTGGATTATGTATGTGTACTTCGGTGAATCACCATGGCCAGGAATATCAGCTGTGATGGCAGTTTAAGTCAACAAGTGTTCTTCTAAGACCAAAGGGTTAACTGTCATTACCCAAAGATACAGTTCCCTCAGACACTGCTAAATGCCTGCTGTGCAGAAGGTTATGTGTGGCTCACTGACCGAGAGATCAACAAATACAACTTCAAGAAGTAATTCTTGGTCAGCCAACCTAGTTAAGGGGTTTGTCTGATCAAGAATCACTATGGTGTATAAAATACAACCACTTAGCTGGAGTATGGGATTCTTACATAGCTCAGTGTGAAAATGGAGCCCTATTAAAACAGACAACACAGAACTGAAGCAGCAAGAAAGAGAATAGGAGAGACAAAAACCTAAGTTCACTTCAGAGATAGTGAACAATTTTTTTAAAAGGAAAAGCATTACATTTGACAGCAACCCAACAAATGTGAACTGTGCATTAGTTTTAGAAGACCATCAGAGAGGGAGCTAAAATGTGGAGCTTCTGTCTTCTATTCAGAAGTTTATGACCTACCAACTTGTTAGTACCTACTGAAGCACTACTATGATTAGTTCATCACGAAATGCTTCTCAAAGTATCATGCCAATTTATAATTATAGGTTCTAAACTAAATTCAGGGCTAGATCATTTCAGTCAGCCATATATGTTTTTCTTGAATTTCCTGTCCATATAATAGCATACATTTGAGCACTTTTGATGATGATAAATATATCAACCTCTCAAAGCAGCATACTCCACTTGTGTGCAGTACTGATTTTATATTTATATTAACATCAAATCCCTGGATCATCTTCCAAAACATTTGCTTGATTTTCCACTGACTTCCATCTTTGACTTTTGCAGGTGAACTAATATATTTCACTTGAAAGCAATATGCAAACTCTAAACACAAGTTTTCACCATTGTTTTTCTTAGGCACTTAAAACATTGGCATTGTCCTATTATTTTTCTAACCCTTCTTGACAAACTTACCTAAAAGGCAGCAAAGTTCAGTGATGATGCTGCATCTCTAGTATTCATACTCATGCATCATCCTTACCTACCAATTGCAATTTGCTGTCCTTAAAGAGTCCCTTTGAACCAGAAAAGTGTGCACATGTGTGTGCACACATTTTCACACATGGAAAATACAGTGAGATGGAGACTTTATGAATTGCATGTTAACATAGTCATACTTTGTCTCTCTCAATCCTTTCTCCATTTCCTCCTCTTTTGGGTCCGTTTTCAGGTAGCTCTACTGCATGGTCGACTGGCTTAGCTCTGAACTCATTTATGTTTTTCCCAGTTTCTTTTTTTTAGTATTTTTCATTGCTGTTGTGGCTGTAACTTCATCTCAGAAATTCACCTTATAATAGATTTGCTTAGCATATCACCTTAATCACTGAGAAAATAGTAGTTTAAGTAAGTGAAGAGACTTTAAAAAGTCTCATTTAGGCAAGTCTAAATGCAGGTGTTTCAAATATTACTTGCACTATTACAAAATGTAAGGGCCAAAGTACCTTTCACTTACAGTTCTGCATATCAGGAAAAAGGCAGAGAGACACAGATAAAGTAACCCTACTTGGAAACCACCTTCCCTCAGGAACCATCAGCTTATGTTTCATTGACTAAACTGGTGTTCCGTCAGTATGGAAAAAAAGAGGAAGTAACATGGGGTAAGAAATTAGAGAGTCTTGTCACAAAATGTGAACACTCCTTTGCGGTTTATACTGTACCTAACCTCATCCCTTTCATCCAGCACATTCTGCTGCTTCAGGAACCAATTTCACAGATAGCAGCACCGAACTATAAAAGAACAGCTCTCCAGGATAATTGCTGCTCTAAAACCTGAGCATTTTCATTCTGATACCCTGTATAGCAAGGGAAGTAAACTGATTATAAACAATATACTGTTCAGTGTTCCTTATAAGAAAACAATGCTGGACATACTGGTGCTATGAAGAGAAGTTTTTTCTCCCAGTACTATGGATTAGAATGAAACTATTCTCTAAATCATGTCCAAGCTTACCCTGCAAGGATCTACCATAGAGTCTGTTGACCCAGTACAGCCAGTTAACTGAGATAATGGTTGCATAAAACCTTTACAGAGTGATCGCACCATCAATCTTATCCTATGCTGTCACATTCCAGCCCACATGCGAACTAACTATGGAATTCTAGACAAGGATGACATGGACATGAATGGACAACCACGTCTTTACCTTAAATGTGAGAGCTATTTCTAACCTGGCTCAAAGTAATTGACTACGACCTCCTGGAAAAGAGATAACATTGTTTGTGAAGTGAGAATATGGGTTTCAAACCAAATGGCAGGGATTAACAGGGGTTATTATATTACATATTGCTCAGATTACCTGATGTAAGAATAAAAGATTGATCAAACCTTTAAAGAGAATATGAAAATAACAATTTAAAAGAACATTAGAGACAATATATAATTTCACTAGACAGGATGATAGAAATTCACCAATGGTTGTTATATTACATATTGTTATAGTTTGCTATTGTATTTTTTACTATTCTCTTTAAAATAATAAAAAAAAAGTACAAAGCATATAGATACCTGAAGCTTCAGAAACATCACCACTTCCCTTTTTTACATTTAGAGCCAGGTTCTGGGCAAGTACAGATATTGCTTTTCCAGGTAAAGCACTCAAAAAAAAAAATCATCCTTAAGAATACATAAAATGTTTTCATTTCAACCTTCATTATTTCTTTCAGTAAACAAAAAATGGTTGTTTCATTCTCAGTGTAGTTATTTACGTAGTTTGCAGATAGATTTTATTCTTATTATTGATTGGAGCATAGCCAGTGGCTTGTACCATTGAGCACATATTGGAACCACCTGAGAACTTCTAAAATATGTAAGATAGGTCTCCAAAAAATCCTGATGAGGTTGGCTCAAGGAAAGGTGATTCTTATCTTCGTGGATTAAAATCTCCTGAGAACCCATGGCTAATATTCATTAAATATTATTTAAAGTTACAGTAGTCTGGCTTTTCAGAGAATTTGTAAATTGTATGTTTATAAGTATTATGAGTAGAAGACTCCCTTTCTGACAAAGCTTAAATAACTTCAATAACAAGAGATATTAGTGCTAAGTCTCTAAATGTCCCTGTCTTATTCCAGCATTTTACCTAATCCCCTGAATATGATAGACTGGTTTACTTAAAGATTTTTTTGGTATGGAACTTAGAATTATATTAAGTTCCTGCCTGAATCAAGTTGACTTGGGGACAGTTACTTCCATTTGAGACTAGGGAGACATTTATTTAACCAGCCCCATTAGATGTCTGTTCATTTCATGAATAAAAATTTGGAGCTGAAGATGCTAATAAGTGTGCCTGCTGCCTTGAAATAATAGCCTCCAAAACCATTAAGCGCATTCATTAAGAATCTGGACTTTTACAGAAAACCAGCTTTATTTCTCATTCCTTCTATAAGTGTTCACAATGATAATTTGCATCGCATGAACATGCTAAGACTCCCGTGGTATTTGTTTCTTTTTTCTTTTTTCTTTTTTTGGTTTTTCTCTGGTACCGGGAACTGAACTCACGACCTTGCACTTGCCAGGCAGGCGCTTTTGCCGCTGAGCTAAATCCCCAGCCCCGACTCCTGTGTTATTTGGAAAGAAACTCACTCCCCCTGACAGTACAGTACAGTCTTGGCTATGTAGCATCTCTTAGCTTATGCTAATTTATTCCCTTGGATCAGAACATCCATTCTCAGGATAGAATTAATTTACAATAGGATTTTTCCTACACGTTCACTCAGAGCCCACCGTCCTCTGAGAGAACAGCGGTTACCCTGATAAATTCTTCTTTCTCCAACACTACATTTTAGAAATTGAGAGGCAACATCTGACTGTTATTCCATATTCCCTATTTGATCCAATCACAAGCAAGAGGAGAAAAATTTGTATCTGTTCCAGAAAACTAGGTAACCCAGAATTGTTTGTTCTGTAATTTATACTATAAGTCTGTTTACTCTGTATATGATCAGTCCTTGATTTTATTTTTTCCAGCAAAAATGCAGCTTGTCTCATAAGCTTCCTTCACTTCTGTCAGTGAATATATGTGGGTAACTG